CATTTAACTTTTGTAATGCCTTTATCCTTTGTTTGGCCAAGAATCCATTTTCTGCCTACAACTGTAAGAGGTCTGTGCTTTGCTTCTCTTCTGACATTTTACTTCGGTGCATGTGGCATTAGGTGGGAACAAATGTGAGCAAAGAGTTCTCAAAAGAATTGCAAAGTATTCACGACTACATAAAAGAATTCTTCAGCTCACTAATAGTAAGAGAAATGTAAGTCAGAACAACCCTGAAGTTTCACCTCATACCGAGCAAACTGAAAAGGATAACATTAAATGAGAGTGGTCAATGTTGGAAAAACAGGCACATTAATGCATTGCTTTAGGTCTGTGATTTGGTATAACCATTCCAGAAAGCAGTGTGGAATGAGGTAAATAAAGTGGTTTCCATATCTACACCAGAGAGGCATGAGGTATTTGCCAAAAGGAGACTCTGTATGTACCAAAGTATTTATAGCTTCACTTTTGGTAGTAGCAGAAGAACTGGTAACAAGATAGATGCTCTGTGACTTGTGGATGATTGAACAAGTAGCGGTCCATGAATGTAACGGGAGTATTCCTGTGCAGCAAGAAATGATGACTAGAGAGACAGGTGGAAAGACTTGCATGAACTGATAGAAACCATGTCCACAGTAACTACGGTGGAAAGGGAAAATAATAACCATTACCCACTGATCAGAACTGAAAATTGTAAAATCTTTTTTAAAAAGTCCTTGTTTTAAAGGATAGCTCTTTGGGAGGTGGGAAAAGGAGAAGGATACAGGGAGAAACCAAGGTCACAGAGAAACAAAAGATTACCAATAAACTATTAACAGAAACAGCCTTGAGTTTCCATTTCGCATTCATAAAATTGGCGAAGATGACATAATACAAACATGGCAGTTGTCTGTAGGATGACAGGCACACTCATGTTCTCTGAGTCCCTTCTCTGGTGTCTGTGACAGTCCTCTCTCCTGGTTCTCCTCCTGTCTGAATGTTCCTTTTTATTTTCCTTTGCTTGATTCTCATCAGCCTCCTTCTCTCTGAACATGAGTGTACTCCAAAGTTCATCCTTGGCCACCTTCGCCATACCCGGATTTAGTTACCTTCTCAGCTTTCATGGATTCGTTCATCACCTCTGTGAGGGCTCTCAAATACATTTTTGTTTGTATACCTATGTGTGTGCGCACGCGCACGAACATACATATATCCTGCCTCCTCTCTCTTTCCAAAACTCTATTCCTCCATGTCTAGCTCAGCCTGCTGAAAACTCAGCTGGTGCTCTTTCCCTCAAGCTGCCTTTCCTCTGAGGCTTCACCCTCCTCTCCGTTACTGAGACTCAGCAGCTCACTTTAGATTCTTTGTCAGCCCCCGTCCCCCCTCGCATCTGATCGGGGCTCGGCCCTTGTCCATTCAGCTCTTCTCCCGTCTCTAAGCCGTCCTTCACACGACTGGCCCAGCAGTCTTTCTGTGGCCCAAGTCTCACTGGGGAAGGGATTCCACGTAAACTCCTTGGTATTTATTTCAGTCATGATTCTCTACAGTCTGGCTCCCGGCCTACCCTGGGTAATGCAGTAGATAAAGCGCCAGCCTCGTGCGCTTCCTAGCTGCGTGACACCCCCCTCCCCCTCCCCAGGCAAGTCACTTAACTGTTATCTACCTCAGTTTCCTCAACTGTAAAAAATGGATGCATAGCAGCTTCTGTCTTTTGGGGTTGCTATGAGGTTCAGATGAGATAATTGTGAAACACTTAGCATGGTGCATGGCATGTGGTAGGCACCATATAAATGGTATCTGTTATTAGAGGCATTAGTTCAGATCCAGCCCCATACACTTCCTAGTTGTGTGACCCTGGGTAGATCATTTAACCATTAACAGTCTCACTTTCCTCAGCTGTAAAATGGAATAATAACAGCCCCTGCCTCCCAGGGCACTTACCGGCACAGTGCCTGGCACCTAATAGGCAATATAAATGTTAGCTGCCATTATTGGTTGGTTGGTTGGTTTTTTTCCACGTGACTCCCTTTCGCATACTCTACATTCCAACCAGGCTGGCCTCCTAGCTGGTCTCGGTGCTCAGCCTTCTGCCCTAGCTCGCCCTAGGCCTTTGCAGTACTCCCTTCACATCTGTGTGATTCCTTATGTTACCTCCTCTTGGAAGCCTTCCCCTATGTCACTCCTCCCCCAGAAAACTTTTGAGTATTCCTCCTCTTAGGTGGCTTGGTCTCTCCTCTCTCAGTCACCTCCTGCCTTGCATTAGCACATTGTTTATGTGCTGTGCATTCCCCCACCTCCCCATGCTGTGTTTCTGGAGGATAGAGTTGTTTGCTTTTCCTTCTCTGAATTCACCTGGCAGTTTTGCAGGGGGGCAGCTGGGATCTCTTTACCTTCTTCCTGGAAGTCCTCACCCACAAAGCCAGGTCAAGTTCTCTAAGAGGAAGAATGACTGTTGGTGGAGAGAGATTGTTGAGAGCAGCCAGTATTTTGGGTGTAGAGGAGTATTCTTTGTAGAAAATTGGTTATAGCCAGAAGAGTGCAGCACAGTTTGTGTGGGCCCTTTGAGATCACAGAGGGCCCTTTTTGGTAACTGGATTATTCGCTTGTAATTATTGTGATTTAACAGGGTGATTGAACAAAATTCCATTAGAGCAGTGATATGGGTAGGTACTTTCTTTGGAGAAGTGTTTTATCTGTTACTTATCAGCTGCCAAATTAAAGCTGGTCTGAGGAGAGGGATGCTGAGTGTCACCGTTACTGGGTTAAATCAGATTTCATGGCTGTTAGAAAATGCCTATTACCCCATGTGCCCATTTTTCCGTTTTCTCTCCCAAAGTTCAAGTGTTTCAGCCACAAAGTTCAGACTGATTTAAGATCTAAAGCAGAAGAGAAAACCCAAACATGGTGGCCAGAATAACTGTGTGTATGGGAGAGAGGTTTAATTTAAAAAACGTCTTGGCTCTAGGGGTTTGTTGGAGAACTGAGGGTTTCCTTTTGTTTCTATTTTTTTTCCCTTAATCAATGAATTAATTATTTATGAGGAAGCTGGAAGACGCAGCAGAGTCTTGGCATTGGCCAGGAAGGAGAAGAAGCTGAGGATACGGGCTGGCCAGGATTAGTGCACTCCCTCTCGCGTGGGAGATTTCGTTTTGATTTTTGCCTTTCTTTGTACCTCCGGGACTTAGCACAGTGCTTGGCACAGAGTAGGCACTTACTTCAGAAAGCTGACCTTGGCATCTGTGGAAGACTTGGGCCCGAATCCCACCTTAGACGCTGTCAGGGTGATCCAGAAGGAGTCACTTAAATTCTTTGGGTGTCATTTGTAAAGCAAGGGGGTTTGATTCAGCAACCTTCAAGATAGAAACAGACCTCAGTGACCAGTTTGAATTGCTAAGATAAAATTCCTAGGCACCAAACAGCTTGTGCTCCCAGGGGGGGCCTTTCTTCCCTGGTATCTGTGTATTTACATTGCGCTGTATTCATTGGTGGATGGCAGCTTCTCCCAAGCTGTCCTCCATGCAGCCCACGGTAGTACTGAAGGTCAGAGGCCAGCCGTCATGGGCAAAGCTGGCCCCTAGGTTACTCAGCGGAGGTGAGCAGCCTCGTGCCCTAAGCCCTGCACCCCTGGAATTCCTTTGTTTTTGTGGGGATTCCATCCAAACTGGCCTGGTGAGCTTCCCAAGCACTTGGCTAAGCAGAGAGATTGGGAATAGAGAAAGTAGCATGTAGCGTTTGTACGTAAAGCATCTTCCTCCTTTTTCACAGTCCTGCCAAGCTAATTCTAGGCGGCGTAATCTTCTGCAGCATCCTCTAGCTCTGTCCAAGAGGATTTTATGTGTGTTGTCGTCACATTTCCATTCCTTTTATTAATTGCTCATCTGTCGTGAGATCCAGTTAAGGAGGGTGAGGCGCTGTCAGGGCCCTTAGCTCGGAGAAAGAGACCTGTGCCTTTAGTAACCATCGCAGCAGAGGCCACGACTGGAAGAGGAGAGAAAGGGGAGGCACTCAGGCTGGTTTCCCTGGCCCCGCTGCGTCTCTGCAGAGCGCGCTCAGCCGCTCTTGGCGGGGTTTCCGCTCTCGCCGCTGATGCTCTCCTCCGTCTCCTTCCTGCCATCCTTGTCCAGTGTTGCATATGATTTGTTGCTTTGGTTTTCCCGTGATTATGGTATTGTGGCTAAGCAAGAGACAAATGGGTTGAACTTTTTCTTTTCACGAGCCCCCTCTCCCCCAGTGGACTAAATGATGCCCTGGGAGTAGAATGTGCACTTTGATTAGCAATTATGAATCCTCTTCCCCTGCCGCTTTCCTGTAGTCAGTATGGGAGGCTAGCAAGGTATTGCGTAGGAGTGTGTGAGTAGGATGTGTACTTTGACTAGCAGTTACGACTTTCCCTCCCCCGCCGTCCCATATCCATCGCTGTGTGAGAGGCAGTACTGTAGTGTGTAGGAGTGCGGTGAAGGGAGGCTCACAAGATGTAGGGACGGCTCAGTCAGGGGGAGGGAGCATCCACCCAGCTACTTGTCCATCGTGGATGGGGGTTGAGCAGCTGTGCCTGGCCTCCCAGGGAGTAGAGAGCCGACCTCGAGAGTCAGGTCACTCCTCTGACCCTGCTGCTGGCTGTGTGCGTGGCCCCCCTGGGCAAGTCCCTTCAGCCAGCAGGGCCTGATGAACTCAGCACTGATGCAGACACTGGTGTCTGGGTGTTTACCTTTGGAGGCCTCCTGCCAGAAAGAAAAGTGACAGCCAAATGTATTTGTTTGAGATTACTGACGGTTTGGAAATCTACATTTTGGTCCCTTCTCTTAATGGGGAAGAAGGATTGTTAAATATGGTGGCTTTTTGTAACCATCATTTTGTAGGCTGGATTTAGTGAAGATCAAACACTCAAATAAAAATCTCTTCCTGGTGGGGCAGAGGAAGGAGGTTCAGCTCTCCAGCTGTTTAGAAGTCATAAGCCAAGTTTCAAACATGAACCATTATCAAAGTGTTTAGAAAATGTCTTTTCTTTTTTTGTCTTACAGATCACAGTAATGGATCCTTTAACTTCAAAGCCCTTTCTGGAGGCTCAGGATACAAATTTGGAGTTCTTGCAAAGATTGTAAATTACATGAAGGTACTAAATAATAACTGTAGGTGTGTGCAAGGTTTCTTATTCGGTTTCTTGGAAAAGCAATTCATAATTGGTTTTGTTGGAGTTTTCTTCACTTTTAGTCTGGAGAACATTATTCCTAAATTGACGGTAACTCATTTTAAAACTGCGAATTCCCTCTTCTCCTTCAGTTGGCTCTTTTAATCCCTTCCCCAGCAGGTGTTGAGCCTGCCTGATGCCAGGTGCTGGGGTGGGTGCTGGAGTTGTACATGTTGTTCAGATTTGCTTGTGGGATCGATTCCACAAGGGGTGATTAGTGAGGTTACTAGTGCAGGGGAAAGAATGCTGGGTCTGGATTCGAATCCCATCTCTGCCGTTAGTTACCAGGCATCTCTTAAGTGGCGATCTAACCTTGCTTCTTCTCAGGCCTCCTCCTTAGCACTAACAGATTATTTCCATATGCACGTACACACAGCAGACCACAAAAAGGATTTTATGGGAAAGTGTGAATCTCCATTTCGTACTGTTTGCATTTTTTTAAAAGTGTGTATAATAAAGTCGGCATGTAACTCTCGAAACCGTCCTGCTTGTTTGTGCTCCTTCAGTCTTTTTAAAAAATGTGGCCACAGTCTTACTTTGTTGGTTGCATCATCATCGCTAAAATAAAAAACGAGGAGAAAAAGGAGACAACTGTGTACAAATAAGATCTCTCTCTCCATATGCGTGTGTGTGTGTATGTATGTATGTGTATAAATATATAACCCGTAATAAGTTGGAGGTAATCGCAGAGGAAAGGCACTAACATTAAGGAGACCTGGGAAACGCTTCTCGCAGAAAGTGGAATTTTACCGGAGACTTGAAGTAAGCCAGGGAGTAAGGAGGTGACCAAAGTCTGAGTGCCGTGGCACTCCTCCCCCTTCTCTCACTGCCCCCTGCGCTCCCACTCCTCCACCTCTCCCAGGGATCCATCTGCTCTTGCTGCCTCTGGACACGGCTTCACAGGCTACGCCTGTCTCTGGTCATGCTGACATTGCCTTTGCTTTGGGGTCCCCTTTCCTATTGTCCATGGACTTCTGGGGTGGGAGATATCCCTGACTGTAGTCCCTTACGATGTAGATCACTGTTAGTCTGGTCTGGAGCCGATATGAGGAGCTTCCTGGCTCGCCTCCCAAGCAGGCCACCCGCCATCTTGGTGGGAAGTCTGGTCCTCTTCCTCATTGAACCGCTCCGCAGCTTTCCGCGTGGTGGTCACCCTCTGACTCCTTGTGCACACTCTCCTCCCTGGGTTTTCATGACACTCCTCTCTCAGTTCTGCTTCTGATTCTTTGACCATCCCATTTGCTCGCTCCTCTTCCATGTCACTCTCCCTGTCTGTGAGTGTGGCCCCACGGCTGTGTCCTGGGCCATCCCTCCATACTGCCTTAGTGACCTCAGCAGTTCCAAAGGGTTCATGTATAATCTCTGTGCAGGTGTTTCAGGGAGCAGTGAGGAAGAAGGAGAGGACAGGAATCACAATCCTTCAGTGACCTCTTGATTAACTAATGGTATAGGAATCCCCCAACCGGCTGGTAGCCCAGTACCAAAAGCCCTAGTCACCACTGGAAGAGAAAGGAAACGTAGCAGACTAGGCCAGGATTCAGCAGAGGGATGTGCACCAGTGGCAGTAACCGTTGGTTGTCCTTGGATGAGAACACCTGCAGGTTTATCTGAGGGAGCTTCTTTAATCATTGTAAAGGGATTTGGTTGCCAGCGCTCTGTCTCCTGTCCTGAAGAACGTCTTCCCATTTTGATGACAGACCCTGCTGGTGCCTGGCAGGCATTTCCCCAGAAATCCCCTCTTTTTCCTTGGTTGAGTCTTCTTTGCTTTTCTCCACCCTCTCTGTGAGATTCTTTACTTATCTATGCTGAGTTGCCACAGAATGCTGTGTACCCTGGGAAGTTGAAGCTGCTAGCAGCAGGCTAATAATACATTCCTTTGTTTTCAGTTGGCCTTCCATCTTGGACATGGCCATAGTCCTCAGATCTCCCTCTCCCCCACCACGGTTACACCTCTTCAGGAGATCCTGGTCCTCTCAGGAGACTTGACAGTTGCCAGATCTCTGCATTACCATCTGTCTATTGGGACATGTTGAACTGGATGTCCATTAGGCATCTGAAATTCATCCTGATCAGGTTTGATTCACTTTCTCTCCTCCCCCTTCACAGTGTCTTGTCTCCCCTTCTCTGATCAGACAGTGACCGTGCTAATCCAGACCAGGCTGTCTCCCTCTCTGGACTCCCCACCTCCAGGCTCTCCCCACACCGGCCCACTCTTGGCAGCTACCAGAGTGATTTTCCTAGAGCGTGCGTCTGCCACGTCCTCGTCCTCAGTCCTCATCCTCTCCCAGTGTAGTGAGCTCTCCTGGTTTCCTGTGACCTGTAGAATCACAGACTCCATTGCTTGCCATTCAAGGCTTTTCCCAGCCTCATCAGTCTTCTTATACATCAGTATCTTGCAGCCACACTATGTTCCAGCCTCACTGGACAGCTTGCCATTCCTTGCCAACCACACTTCATCTCTCCCATCTCTGGGCTTTTGAGCCGTCTGTCCCTCATTCCTGAAATGCTTTCCCTTCTCACCTTCTCTTAGGATTCCCGAGCTTCCTTCAAGGCTCAGCTGAGACATTCTCTTCAGCCGGTGGCCTTTCCTGACCCCCAGCCTCTCACGACTCCCACACTGAGGTTTCCTTTCATCTCAGCTCCATTTATCGGGGCCTTGCTGTGCACATGTTTCCTCCCCGTCCAAATGGAAGCCCCTTGAGGTCCTGTCCTTCTCTGAGTTGACGATCCGGTAGTCTCGCTACTCCTGCCTGGCATAGTCATCATATTAAGGCAGCTGAGGAAGCACATTGAGAGTGCTGGGCCTGAAGTTGGAAAGATCTGAGTTCAGATCTGGCCCCAGACACTGACTGTCTGTGCGACCCTGGTCAAGGCCCTTCAGCTCTATTTGCCTCAGTTTAAAATGGGGACCCCTGGGGTTGTTGGGAGGATCCGTCGCCACTCCCTGCAGTTTGGTGTAGGTAACGGGCACCCACGTCCCTTCAGAGACGGTCAATTCTGCTTTTACTGGTCCTTCTCACACCTTCTCCTCTTTCCCTGCAGTTAGTAGCAGATTAGAGTTGTCAGCAGGCAAGGAGTTCCATTTCCAGCCAGACGTGTTAAGCACGTCTTGTGTGCACGTCATTTTTCCAGGGGATACAAAAGAAGAACATCCTGTCCTCCACCTTTAAGTAGTTTACTTTTCACTGGAGCAGACACTGGTAGCAAGCAGGAAGCCACAGTGGAACGGCCTGACCGAGGAGACAGGCAGAGACATGATAGACCAGGCCTTTTTCTTATCTAGTGAGGTAGTCATGATGTTTGGGAGATTTTTTCCTTATTGGTATAGTTGGTTAAGCTTATAGTTTTCCCAGTATTGAACCAACAGTGAATTTCTGGTATAAATCTAGCCTGGTCATAGTGTATAATCTTTGTGATATGTTATAACCTCCTTACTAGTATTTTATTTAAAATTTTTACATTAATATTCATTAGGGAAATTGGTTGGTACTTTCCTTTCTCTGTTTTGACTTTCCCTGGTTTAGGTATCAAGACTGCATTTTTACCATAGAAGGTATGGGGGGGTGGGGCAGCTAGGTGGAACAGTAGATAGAGCTCCTGCCTTGGAGTCAGGAGGACCTGAGTTCACATCTTGTCTCAGACACTTGACACTTACTAGCTGTGTGACGCTGGGCAAGTCACTTAACCCCGATTGCCTCACCAAAAAGCAAAAAAAAAAAAAAAAAAGAAGAAGAAATTTGGGAGCTCTCCTTTACCTGTTTTTTTATAACAGCTTGTGTCGTATTGGACTTAAAGTATTCTTATTTCCTGTTCCATCAGTCTGAGCAATTTATATTTTTTTAAATAGTCATCCATTTCATTTAGATTGTCAGGTTTATTGGCATATAGTTGGGATTTCCTCTTCACCCTTTTCATTTTGATACTAGTGATTTGGTTTTCTTTTTTTAAATCAAATTCATTAACAATTTATCTCTTTTATTGTTCTATTTTGGTTTTAGTTTTTGTTATTCAGTTCAGTTTCTTTTTTGACTTTCAGGATTTCTATTTTGGTGTTTAATTGAGGGTTTTTAATTTGTTTTTTCTAGGTTTTTTTTTAAGTTGCATATCCAATTCATTAATCTGCTTTTTCTCTCTTTTATTAATATAAGTATTTAGAGATATAAATTTTCTTCTAAGTACTGCTTTGGCTGCATCCCACAGATTTTGGTATTTTTTTTTCATTATTATCGTGAGTGAAATTACTGTTTCTTTGATTTGTTTTTGGACTCACCCATTCTTTAGGATTAAATTATTTAGTTTACAGTTAATTTTTAGTCTTTGCTTCAAAAGCCCCTTTTTGCATATAATTTTTTATTGCATTGTGATCAGAAAAGGGTACATTTAATATATCTGCTTTTCTGCATTTGTTTGTAAAATTTATTGCCTAATATATGGTCAGTTTTTGTGAGGCCTTGCACAGCTGAGAAATAGGTACCTTTCTTACTAAAGAATTTGTATACCATGACATTTGGTGAATGTATGTTTGATGTTGATATTAGGTCATTATTTATGGTACCTTTCAGCAAAATGTAGTAGTTCCCTTGTTTATCTCTTTTAATTAGTTCTATTTTTGCTTTTATCTGAGGTCATAATTGCCGCTTTTACCTATTTTACTTCAGTTGAAGCATAATAAATTCTCCTTGAGCCCTTGTTTTAACTCACTATATAGTTTTCTATTTCACATGTGTTTTTTGTAACAACATATTGTTGTATTGTGGTTTCTGAAACATTCCAATATCTTTTTTCCATTTTATGGCTGAGCTTATCTATTCACATTTATAATAAAGATTGTGAAGTATTTCCTATTCTATTCTATTATACTCGTCCTTTTCTTTATAACCCTGTCACCTTCTCAAGAGTCTGTTTTGCTTCTAATCACTGCCTCC